AAAAAAAAAAAACCCCACAAAGAAAAAATAGCTGGAAGCCAGCTGGCTCCATCACCTGGAGCCATAATCGGGTATTAATGGGAATTAATTGTTGCATTAAAGCGTTGCTATCGAGAGTGGCAGAGATAAGCTGGCAGCATGCAGGGACAGGATGCGGGTGCTCGCCCACCCCACCCATGGGTGTAGAAAGCTCCGGGTGCCCTGTGGCAGGTGCCACAGGGGACACCGCGGCCATCCCGGTGACCCTCGTGCCTACCGGGAATCCTGGTGCCTGTGGTGAAGCCCCACTGCCGAAACCTTTGCGTGGCCAGTTGACTTTTGATGGCCAAAGCCAACGAACCCCACTGCACCACTCTCTTGGCTTCTCGCCTTGTTTTTAACGGGACTCACCCGTGCCGCGGCGGTGCCGAAAGGAGCCCGGCAAATGCACCACAAAGTGGTTGCCAGGCCTGGCCCGGGCTGTGTTTGGTTTGGGTCTGGCTTGCTGTGTTTGCACACTCCGTGCCGATAACGTCATTGCAGTCACGAGTGCGTTCCCCCCACGAGGACTTTAGACCCAGAAGGGAAAATCTCACCGCTCCGCGCCCGGGTGCTGTGCCGGGGCGGCCGCGGTGCCCCTCGGAGTGGGAGGGGGCGTTTACCCCGATCTTGCCTCCCTGGGCTGTGTTTTTTGCAGTAAAGAGCTGAATCTGGATGTAAATCCTCAGGACGGGGCGGTGGGTTGTGAGACGTGATCGGGTGATGGAGGCTACGAATGGTGACCCCTCCCCAGATGCCAGTATTGGGGGCCACCGCTGTGGCTGCTGGTTTATCGTGGGGGATCACAGATAATTTGGAAACGTCTCTGTTATTTATTCACACGTTTTCAGTGTTTTCCTTCTGCTCATGCTCTGCATGCGCGAAGCCGATGTCAGAGACGCATTTCCGAGCCCGTGCCGGCGCAGCCCAAGGAGCATCCCTGGCTGCCGACATCCCGCCTGACCGTTGGGACGTCCCCCTCTGCCCAGCAAGCATTGCTCCTGCTTCTGTCCCTGCTTCAGCCCCCGTATCCAGGTAATAAGTTTTCCTTGGAGTTTTCCTGTTGCCGGTGAGCAATTTCCCAGCGTTTTCCCGTTCTCGAGCAAAAGCCATCATTCACCATCTGCTCCTAATCCTGCACCACCCCAGTTCTCCTGGCTTGGTGTCCATATTCCCAAGCCCTCTCATGTTCCGATGGTGCCGCTCGCTTCCCGGTGTCCCAGCCCAGGACACAGAAGCTCCGAGAAAAATGAAGAAGCTCCTCGACCCCATCTCTGGCGCTGCGCTGGCAGCGAGGGGGTGGTTCTCCTGCCCAGCTGAGCTGGGCTTTGCCAGAGCGTCCGGATGGGATGCAGCAGCCCCCGGAGGAAGCTGCGGGTTAATTATTGTTGTTGTTATTAATACAGCAGCTCTACTGAGGCTGTTTTCCGGGTCACAGACGTGCGTGTGCTCGAAACGGCAGGCGGGGGCCCGGCGCCGGGGGGTTACCGGAACCACTGGCCTCCCCGCCGTGTCCCAGCAGCGCCCAGGGCCGCCGGCTCCCCGCTCCGCCTCGGAAGCGTGAAGGGCAGCGCAGGGGCAAAGCCGGTTCCTCACCGAGGTGATGCCAGAGGGTCACGTCGTCCTGCTGGGTGAGCGCAGCGTCGTGCCGAGCAGGAGAGCACGGAACTGG